GAAATTTCAAAAAATGCCACTTTTCAAGTGCCACTTTACAAAAATGCCACACTTTTGAAATCTTTACAAAAATGCCACTTTTTCAAAATTATTTTTTCTTTATATTATTTATGTTTGGGTTAATTATGCTCTATTAGAGTTTAGTTTTGAATGTTTAGGGGGTTTTAGGTGTCAAAACAATTTTTAGGGTTTAGAATTTTAAGATATAGGCTTTATAAATCTATAATTAGTGGCATTTTTGTAAATGGACACCTCTAAGTGGTATTCTTGCAAATGTGAAGTGGCATTTTTGTAATTGCCCCAATAATAATTAGCATTTCAAATTCATACTTTAAATACCAATAAAAGAGACAAAACCTAGTATTGAATTTTTTTTTAAAAACATAGTAGTTAACTATGATAACTTATATAATCAACAATAGAATAATCGTACCGTTGGACCGATAGGCACTCCATTTCGCTCACCTAATACACATATACAAAGAAAAATTATATGACAATTCGAGAAAAAGTCAATTTATAGGTTAGAAAAAAACACAAGATTCACGGACCTACGATACCGACGCAAGAATCAGTGCCCATGGTGATGTTTTCAGTTGCACAAGGCACGTCTTTTGCGTAAGCAGATGAGTAATAGTTTATGCCTATGAAATCGTATGATCCTTTGAGCATTGAGGACTCCTCTGGTGTGAATGTAGGAAGACGACCGCCTTTCACGTGGTTGACCATCTCAATTGGGTATTTGCCATTGACGAGCGGCTCCATGAAGTAGTCCAAGGTGAAGGCTGTGGCCCGAGCCGCGGCTGACCGGTCAGCATATGACTCTGAATAAGGGTAGTGCCATTCTGTGTTTAGGGCGATACCAATTTCACCTTTCTGATTAGCCTGTGGACAGAATATTAGGAATGAAACAGAAATTATATGAGGATTTCGTAACAGAAATTAACATTCGTTACCGGACTTCCGATTAACAGACCTGTGACGGTAAAAAAACAAAGTAGAGCAGCAGAGCATAGAGAAAACAAACAGGGAAGAAACAGAGCATGGCCAAAAACAGAGTAAAAATAGAGTCGTTGAAAACAGAGCCGAGAAAAACAGAGCATTGCGGAAACAGCACAGAGAAAACATAGTAAAACAAAAAATAACGAAAAAGAGAGTAAAACATATAGAGCATACCGGAAACAAAGTAGAAAGAGCATAGATATTACAGAAGAAACAGACCTGGTACTTTTCTCTGTAGACTTTGACCGCGGCTCCATGAGCGAGGAGTAAGTTATGGCCGACAAGGTAAGGCTCGGTGGCTCCATCACCGCCAGTGCAATCAGGTTTAGTGAAATTAGAACATCTCCCAGGTGCCTTTGAGCCTTTTAAATAACCATCGCGTACCACTGTTAATGGCTCATTTAGCGTCATCCATTGATTCACTCTATCTCCAAACTCTTGGAAACAAAGTTCCGCATAGTCCCGAAAATCATTCCTGTTTCAATACCAAAAATATCAACAAAAAAAGAACACTTTTTCTTCTTTGTGATGTCATAGTCATACCATTTAGAGATGTTAAATAAACTACTTACACAATCTCGGCCCCGAGGAAGCCACCGTAAGCATCTTCGAGTGCTTGTGGTTGATCCCAGTGAAAGAGTGTGACATATGGCTTCACTCCTTACATGTATAGAACAATATTACAAGCAACTTTTAATGTTGTGTTCTTGGCGAATCTTGAAAATTTCCAGTGGTTTTGGCAAGTAGACTGAGAAAACAGAGAATCATTACCTTTTAACAAAAGTTGATTAATCAAGTTGTTGTAATAGTCAATTCCAGCTTGGTTGATTCCTCCCTTTAGATTCCCACCTATAAATAAACCAAATAAAGTGATTAGTATTCATGAATATAACAACTCTTACAAAGATCTGTAATCGAATCTAAATCTTACGAGGCAAAATCCGTGACCATGAGATCGAGAATCGGTAAGCACTGAAGCCAATTTGATGCAGTAAATTCACATCTTCCTGGATTTTTCAAGAAGTTTTCATGAATAAAAAATGTATAATTGACTTTTTTTTGTGTGTGAAGAAATGCAATAATACCTTGTAAAGATTGTAAGAATCATCTGCAATGGACCCATTACTACCATCCAATATCTTCTCTGAAAAGAAAGGGACCAAATATTAATTAAATCATTTACTTTTCAAGAAAGAAAAAGAAGGATCAAGAATGTTCATCATCATCAATCCATTTTTCCTATGAACACAAGGAAAACCCAGATTCATATCAACATTTTTGAGTCTTGAATGTTTTTAAAGATCCAAAAACATTTAAAGGTTAGGAAGAAAAACCTGGGAAATTTTCAGAGTAGGTGTCCCATATACTTGGACCTCTACCATCTTCATGGGCAGCACCTTCACACTGCAAAATCCAGAAAAAAATTAACAAAAAAGTAAAATAAATGGAACAAATGATAAGAACTAAACCTGATAAGCAGAAGTTGCAGATCCAAAAATGAAATCTTCTGGGAAGTCATTTCTTCTTAGTTTAGGTCTTGAAGAGTCGTTCTTAGCGGAAACTCCAATGTAGACAAAAGTAATGAGCAATAACAGTAAAATGAGACATTTACTTCTCATTTTTTTCTGTAAATATCTCTTTGTTATTTGTAACTATGATAATTTTGGTTATGAAAAACTTTATGAGAGAAAGGGAAATGTTTGGATCTGATAATCTTGTATCTATAAATAAATAGAGTAGATGGAAGAGAGAGTATACCAACTAACATTTTTTACTAATTGTTTCTTTTTTTATACGATTTCTATAGGTTGTCCCCAACCTTATCCAATAAAACTAGTAAAGAAAACTGAAAAAAAAAAAGCTGTGTCATCGCACAAAAAGAAAATTATTTTAAAGCTAAGACGTGAGACCATAGAAAACATTTATTGTTCGAACGCATTATGAATAAACATAAGGAAATTGACAAA